CACACACACACACACACACACACACACACACACACACACACACACACACACACACACACAAGCAAGCAAAAACATTATTGCCCCTCTGCTTGGCTGCAGGTAACAAAATGTGTGTATTTTCTATTGTACTGTATAAATACTTGTCCCTCTCTGACAGCAAAAATAATTTGTTTGATAAAACGCCACCTTGAGTCACGCTGCATTATAAAAATCTAATTCACAGTCTTTACTATTTTTATTTATTGCAAATAATTAAAAACAGTCACACAACCAAAGCCCTGTTATTCTGTGTCTAAAGTGAAAGATCTATACAATGCCTCTGCATGTTTTCTCTGACAGATCCAACTCTTTATGATTTCATAAGGTATTTTTACTGCAGACCTCTCTGCTGGGATTCAGTTTCACTGTGCAGAGTTCCTGCTGTGCGGACTAATATCCAACAGATGGCGACACAGATTGTTCTAGTTCTTCCTGGCAGCTTTCATTTTTCTTTCTTTTTAACATTTTTTAAAATTATTGTTTTGTTATTCACATTTCTTTGGGGCAAAGTTGTCACTTGGTCTAAAAAACACTTCACATCTCTTTTATTCTCGTCATATAATTTCGCATTTATTTTTGGAATGTCTTGTTTTTATGTTTCATTCATGTTTGAGCTGTTATGTGTAAATGTTTCATTGCTTTGCGATCCTGACAACCCGCTGGAATTTAAATTTGGACATTTTTTCTGAGCGGGGACCGTTGTACTTTGAGTTACTGCAAAAGCTGTGAGAAACCTTTAAAGGAATCTTCTCATCTCTGCTTCACGCTGCGTTATGACAAGGCTCAAAGATTTGGTTTTTACTTGATGCCAGGAGGCCAACATTTTTATTACAGTGTAGGAACACCAGAGATGTGACAAAGCACAATGATTTATTGGTTTAATATGTCTTGTATCTGCTATGGTTGTAGGACATTTTATAAATGCAGAACAATATGATTTAAATGTGTTTCTTTTCTTTATTCTCTTTGTTGTGGGGCTGACCAACGTGGATCTCTGTGATCTTAGAGTCAAGGAGGCACGAACGGAAGACTCAGCTTAAGAAAGATCTCTAAATTTGTAATCGGAAAGAAAACAGAAGTCATATTTTAAAATGTTTACATATAAGTCCCAAGCACATATTTTTAATTGTGATTCAATAAAATGAAAGTGTCTTTTTTTAATTATTTAGAATTTACAAATTTTATAGATCAGCAAAAGAAAAACTCATGATCTAAATAAGTGATTTTATTAGTGTTAAAATGATTAGTGACTTTATTTATGAAGATTTTTAACGTGAGTTGTATCAAATACACAAAGACAAAATGTCGCTAAACAAATTAGTGATGTTAAGAGTGTCAGAATTTTCTATTGAAAAATCTGTGTGGGGGGCCTATGGTACTTTTGATGTAGAAATAACAACAAAAACAACAACAATAACAACAACAACAACAACAACAACAACAACAAC